TGATAATTCAGGCTGTGGCATGTTTATGTAGGGGATATATGTTGTCTGATGTTGTCAGTTTGGGGAAGAAGGATTCTAGTGGGCTGCCTGACTATTGGATTGAGATGCACCAGGAAACTGTCCCTTTTTAACTTGGTGGTTGTGAGAAGCAGGAGAGGCATTCACCAAAGGGTGAATTGTTTTCTAAGGCATAAATGAAGGTAATTTTTCTCTATGACATAAATGAAGGTAAGTTTTGGTTCTTAATGCAAATGTATCTTACCGGTTTTCTGCTTTTGTGTCATGTCTTGAACATTGATAATACAAGAGTAAATGTCTTTGATACTTTTTCTGGTAAATTGATTCTTTCTTTCTATTGTAAAACATGTGAAGTTTGCTTGTCTTACCAAGGCATCAACACACATGCACCTAGATTCTTTTATTCTAGAACAGTCCAATTTTCTCTTAATTTAAGGGATGGATACAGAGTAGGACAGAGGAGAAAAAGGTGACGTTTTCGGCAATGAGAATTATCTTATTAGTTCTCCCATGAAAATAAAAAAGTTCAGACTCCTGTAATAGCATTTACTGCATTGAAATATTCATAACCTTTCAGTAACAGAATGAAAATTATTTTATTAACAAATTATCTAACTTTTTTTCCTATGCTTAAGCAATAATATAAAACAGCACACCAGTGCAACAGAAGCCGCTCTTTATTTTATTTTTTTTTTTGAATTGCCACTTTGAGTTTTTATTGTTTATTTTTTTTTTACTCGTTAATTGAAGTATTTATTTATTTATTTATTTTTATTTATTTATTTATTTATTTTTTATTTTAAATTTTATTTTTATATTCCCCCATACAATTGCAACACCCCATTCTGACCCCAATCCTTCCCCTCCCGCCCCCCACCCCCCAAAAAGTGTCTCTGGTTCATAGTTTTTTGTTGATTTTGATTTTCACTTTCTTATATTCATTTTCCTGGTCCCTTATTTAAGTTTTCTAGATTCCTGCTATGAGTGAGACCATCCAGTATTTTTCTTTTTCTTTTTGGCTTATTTCGCTGAGCATGATCCCTTCCAGCGCCATCCATGTTGTTGCAAATTGCATGTGTTTATCTTTTTTGAATGCTGAGTAATATTCCATGGTATATATGTACCACATCTTCTTGATCCAGTCATCTATTTTTGGGCATTTGGGTTGTTTCCAAAGCTTAGCTATTGTAAACAGTGCTGCTATAAACATAGGGGTGCAGGTGCTCTTTGGAATTGATGTTTCTGTGTCCTTTGGGTAAATACCTAGGAGTGGAATTGCTGGATCATATGGAAGCTCTATGTTTAGTAGGTCCAGAAATCTCCACACAGCTCTCCATAGTGGTTGGACCAGTTTGCACTCCCACCAACAGTGAAGAAGAGTTCCTTTTTCTCCACACCCTCGCCAACATTTGTTGTTGCTAGTTTTTTTAATATGTGCCATTCTCACTGGTGTGAGATGGTATCTCATGGTAGTTTTGATTTGCATTTCCCTGATTACAAGTGATGTTGAACATTTTTTCATATGTCTGTTGGCCATTTGCATTTCCTCTTCAGAGAAGTTTCTTTTTAGCTCTTCTGCCCATTTTTTGACTGGATTATTTTCTTTGTTGTTGCTGAGTCTCATCAGCTCTTTGCAGATTTTTGTGATCAGTCCTTTATCATTAGTGTTGGGTGCAAAAATGTTCTCCCAGTTGGTGGGGTTTCTCTTTGTTTTTGTTATTGTCTCTTTTGCTGTGCAGAAGCTCTTTAATTTGATGTAGTCCCAGCTGTTTATCTTTGCCTTCACTATCACTGCTTTGGGTGATGTGTCTGTAAAGATGTCTTTGATGTGCAAATCCCGTAGTGTTTCGCCTATATTTCCTTCTATGTATTTTATGGTTTCAGGTCTTATGTCTAGTTCTTTGATCCATTTTGAGTTGATTTTTGTGTATGGTGTGAGGTAGTGGTCAAGATTCATTCTTTTGCATGTAGCGACCCAGTTTTCCCAGCACCATTTATTGAACAAACTTTCTTTGCTCCAATGCATAGTCTTTGCTCCTTTGTCAAAGATTAGTTGACCATAAATCTGTGGGTTTATTTCTGGATTTTCTATTCGATTCCATTGGTCTGTATGTCTGTTCTTGTTCCAATACCATGCAGTTTTGATGATTATGGCTTTGTAGTATAGTTTGAAGTCTGGGAGTGTGATGCCTCCATTTCCTTCCATCTATGACAAGCCAACAGCCAGTATCATTCTCAATGGTGAAAAGCTGAAAGCAATTCCATTAAGATCTGGAACAAGACAAGGATGTCCACTCTCACCACTGCTTTTCAATATAATACTGGAAGTCCTAGCCAGAGCAATAAGACAAGAGAAAGACATCCAAGGAATCCAAATAGGAAAAGAAGAAGTCAAACTATCACTATTTGCAGATGATATGATAATATACATAGAGAACCCCAAAATCTCCACAGAAAAACTAATTCAACTCATCAATCAATTCAGTAAAGTGGCAGGATACAAAATCAACACGCAAAAGTCAGTAGCCTTCCTATACACAAACAATAAATCTGAAGAAGAAGAAATCAAAAAAACCATCCCTTTTATTATCAAAACAAAAAAAATCAAATATTTGGGAATAAATCTAACAAAAGAGGTAAAGGACCTATACAAAGAAAACTATAAAACACTTTTAAAAGAAATAGAAGAAGACACAAAGAAATGGAAAGACATCCCCTGCTCATGGATTGGAAGAATAAACATTATTAAAATGGCCATCCTACCAAAAGCAATATACAGATTCAATACTATTCCAATCAAAATCTCAATGGCATTCTTCAAAGAAATAGAACAATTATTGATGAAATTCATATGGAATCACCAAAAACCCCGAATAGCCAAAGCTCTACTGAGAAGCCGCTCTTTAATAATGACTGTTGGTTATAAGTTATACTTCGGTGCTTCAGTTTTTACATTACAAAAAAGAGGAAGCATATTTGGTGAAGTGAATAATTATTTTATGTTTGATGGGTTTTGTTTTATCTAGCAGTTTCAGATTCAATATTAGACATTAAGTCTAATTTTGTAATAATCTTATTCCCACTGCCACCTTGAAATGGCAGTGTGGTTCATTTTAGGAAGCAAGCATACCCATTTCTCGGATTGCTGCATCTTCTTTCCACCCTCTTGAAACAGTAGGTAAAGCATGGGCAGTGGTGTAATGGCATCTGGTCAGACAGAAGAATTTTTTTATAGGGCCCTGTGTTGTTGTATGTTTGGTTGTTTACTTATACATGAAAGATTAAGCTGTCTAGACTTTGTTTTTTAAAATGTTTATTTATATATTTTTGTAGAAGAACTGGGGTCTAGGACAGAGGTACGGGTTTGAGAGGATTCACTCAGAGGCAGAGTGGGGAGCAGAACAGGCAGATTTACTGTAATACACTGCTTAGGGTAGGGGTGCAGTGAGAGAGACAAGCACACATGTGGTTTAGCTCCATGGCTGGGGATTGAACTCAGGCCGTAGTGGTCATAGGCGCCAAGGCTTAACACCACTAAACCACCAGGGAGGCCCTGTATAGGCTTTGGTTGAGGAAAATAATGTCCATTCACTACACATGAAGCCCTAGGATTTCTCTGATGGACTAAAACTAAAATATTGCCACATCAGCATACCTGATATTAGACTAAGTTTCCAGGTTGGCTAGATTTCTCAATAATAAAATTAGCTAGAAATAACAGGCTATATATCTTATTACCAGTCTAAAATTGGACTGAACTCAGCAGTAGCTGCCCATGTTGTTTACTAAGGCAGATAGATGTTTAGGGGAAAGACTAATTCATTGTTAAATTTCATACAAAATGGAAATTTGTGATGTTGACGTATTGAGAGTTTGGTCTCAGGCTATGACACAATTCACACTGTTTTAATGTCTCTAATTTTCAGGTCATCATTTACTCTTCCCCTGTCTTAGTTTGTCGATTGTACCCTAATGCAATCTCTTACTGACAGAGATCAACTGATGATTTTGAAAGCTGTAATGTAAGTCTAGTTCAATACTATTTGGAGTAATTATAATTTCTTTATTTTTTTGTAGCCATATTATGAAAAAAACTGAAGAAATGGAACCTGCCAATTATACCAGGGTGACAGAATTTGTTCTCACTGGCCTATCCCAGGCGCGGGAGGTTCAACTAGTCCTATTTGTTGTATTTTTATCCTTCTATTTGTTTGTCCTTCCAGTAAATATTCTTATTATTTTTACTGTCAGGCTTGACCCTCACCTAACTTCACCCATGTATTTTTTGTTGGCTAATCTGGCATTCCTTGACATTTGGTATTCCTCCATCACAGCCCCTAAAATGCTAGTAGATTTCTTTGTGGAAAGGAAGATAATTTCCTTTGGTGGGTGCATTGCACAGCTCTTCTTCTTACATTTTGTTGGCGCCTCAGAGATGTTCTTGCTCACAGTAATGGCCTTTGACCGCTATGCTGCTATCTGCCGTCCCCTCCACTATGCTACCATCATGAACCGACGTCTCTGCTGTGTCCTGGTGGCAGTCTCCTGGATGGGGGGCTTCATTCATTCTATAATACAGGTGGCTCTTATTATTCGGCTTCCCTTCTGTGGACCCAATGAACTAGACAATTACTTCTGTGACATCACACAGGTTGTCCGGATTGCCTGTTCCAACACTTTCTCAGAGGAGTTGGTGATGATCTTTAGCAGCGGTCTGATCTCTGTGGTATGCTTCATTGCTCTCCTAATGTCCTATGCCTTCCTCTTGGTCATGCTCAAGAAACACTCAGGCTCAGGTGAGAGTACGAGTCGGGCCGTATCTACCTGCTATTCCCACATCACCATCGTGGTGCTAATGTTTGGGCCATCCATCTACATTTATGCTCGTCCATTTGACTCTTTTTCCCTAGATAAAGTGGTGTCTGTGTTCCATACAGTGATATTCCCTTTACTTAATCCTATCATCTACACATTGCGAAACAAAGAAATAAAGACAGCCATGAGGAAGTTGGTCAGCAGATATGTTTTATGTAAAGAGAAGCGACCCACATCAAGAAACAGTAAGTAATTGTGAAGGTGTGGAGAAAAAGGATCCCTTATACACTGTTGGTGGGAATGTAGACTGATCCAGTCCTATGGAATCAGTATGGAGGTTTATTGAAATATTAAAAATAGATCCACCATTAGATCCAATAATCACACTACCATCTTCCTAAAGAATGCAAAATACCAATTAAAAGGGATATATGCACTCCTATATTCAGTGCAATACTATTTACAATAACCAATTATGGAAACAACCTAACTGCCCAAGGACAGAAGAATGGCTTAAGATGTGATATGTATGCACAATGGAATACTACACACCTATAAAAAGGTGAAATCTTGACATTTGTGACAAGGATGCAACTAGAGGGGATTATGCTAAGTGCAATAAGTCAGAAAGACTGTGACAAATACCAGATGGTTTTACTCATATGTGGAATATGGAGAAACAGTCAAAACCATACAAAAACAAACTTAGCAATCTAACTGTAGATTTGAGGCTACAAGAGGAGAGGAAGAGGGTGGGGTCCAAAGGGTGGAGGGGGCCAATGGACTATGGTACAGGGCTGTGGGTGCCTTGGTGGAGGTTGTGGTGTGATAACATACACCTGAAGAGTTGTGACCCTCTGATCACATGCAGTGTCATAAGCCAATGTTACCTCAGTAAAAAATGTAATTAAAATAAAACATTAAGAAGAAAATCCTAGTCCTTTTTACTATTTCTCTAAAATATATTATTGGTATAAAATCTTCTCCTGTCCCACCTCCTGGTCTAAACTACCATCATCTCTTGTCAGTAGTACTCCTTGCTTCTACCCTTTGCTTTCTACTACCCATTCTTTACTAGTAGCCATAATAATCTTTTTGAAATGTAGATCAGATAATGGTGCTCTTCTGCTTCTAACATCTCACATAGAATAATGACTGAATGCCCTTTGTCTATGACTGACTCTTCTCTGACTTACCTTACACACTGTTTTTTCCCATTGTTAGCTACTATCTTGCCACACGGGCCTTTCTGCTGCTTTCTCTTCATTTCTTCTTACCAGTGCACCATCCCTTTCTTGCTTCGTTGCTTTTATCAACTCTTCTTTCATATCTTCACATGTTGGGATATTCTAGACATTCAGAACTCAGCTGAATGCCACTTCCTAACAAGGCTCTTCAGGCCTGCTTACCCAGCAGTCTCTTCCCTCCCTTTGCAGTGTATCACTGTTTTTCTGACACAGCATTCCTCACCATCAGATGTTCTCTCAGATGTGTTTGTTTATTGCTTGTCTCCATGAATTAGAAATTACAGTTTCCCAGAACAGGGGCCTTTTTAAAAAACAACAAAAAAACCCTCACTCAATACAGCCTGGCTTATGATTTTAGTTCTAAGATCATCTAAAAAAACACATCCTTTTCCATGAAAAATAAGAAGTCTCCATTCTGAGGATTAGCTTATATCTTAAGATTAGTTTTATTTTAGGTATTGTGGCAAACATTAGGAATCAAGTTCACTGACTATATCTACAGATATGAAACAAATCACATTTTAAAAAGTCTTTGGTGGCATTAAAGACTGTAACATAGTCCAAAATGGGGATTTCTCTCCCCATATTTCTCCATATATTTCACTTCTTGTTTCTTTTTAATAATACCTTTCTTTTTTTTTTCTTTTTCTTTTCTTTTCTTTTTTTTTTTTTTTTTTTTGTGGGACTGTTGCCGGTGGCCAGGGATGGAACTGGCGCTGCAGAGGCTGCGGGCAGCCTTGCAACCCAGTGCTCAACCGCTGCGACACCAGGGGAGGCCCAGTAATACCTTTCCTTCTTATTTGTATATATGGTTTTACAGAATGTAGTTCTGTGCTTTGCCTTTTCATATTCATTTCCTATTTTCATAATATGATCTGTGCATTTGTTCCTATTTAATTTTCCCCTCCCTGTTGTCTATATTTTTGTCATCTTTTTCCCCCCCTCCATTTTTCCTATTTCCCACTCCTCCTACTCCTATTTCTCTAAATAATCATATTAGAATGAAGTATGGCTGATAAGCATGGAGTTCATTTAAAATTTATGTATAGTATTTTAATTTTTTAGATAGCTAGGAAGTGCTTTTTTAAAAAAAAACAAAATCAAGTCTACTAAAATTTAATTTATGTTGCTTTCTACTACATGTTCATAGTTATTTTCCATCTGTTTAATAACATTCAACTGAAAAAGAAATAGTTCTTCATCATCGCTGAAGCAGAGCCAAGGAGACAATTACTCCAAAAATGAAAATCATCAAATACCAAGCCCACAATAAGATCTAGTTAGGAGAACATCTCCACTATTGGAATTAGTCATCCCTTCAACATGCAGTTTCTTTATCTAAGAAGGATTTTGTAAAGGAGTCTTTGTGAATATCATTATTTTCTCTTTGCTTGTCCCTTTGTCACCAGAAATGTTTAATCTAACTCATTTAGCACGTATTTGACCACAGTATTTCCTTGCTTTTTATACCAGTAATCTACTGTCAACTACGCTGCTGTTTTCTTTTTGAATTGCAGCATACAATATAAAAACTTTTTTTTTTTGTAATTTTTTTTTTATTTTTAGAGAACATTACTTTATTCACTATTGTAAAAGATGAGGAAATCAGCAGTTATAGACATCTACTACTTTCCCCCAATTTTAAATTTTTCTTATTTATTGTTTTTACATCAGCAAGGTTTATATAAAAACTTTCTGTGACTTTCTACTCACTCAGACCTAATAAACATGTTTGTAATTTAATTACCTCTGTCACTGATGGAATGTAGATGTAAGAACCCAGAAGTGACACAGTGTCTCTTTAACTGATAAATATTTGAGTATTTGTACCCAATAGATCTCTAGTTTAATTCTTTGATTATATCTTGTTGGCATTCTAATAATTCCCATTGAAAGTGTACCATAGCTTTGTTAGCCTTCAAATTCCCAAAGTACATTTTCTGTTGCGTCACAAATTGGCCGTGTATTTCAACATGTAAGAGGCCCCTCTGTGAGAAGAGATATTTGAGAACAAAACAGGAATAATCAGTTATTGTTTGTTCCATTACATGATGATGTCTGCTGTGTGAGAGTAGTGTTGGATTGCTGGAAAGGTAAATGTTTTTGTCATTCTTCGTATTTATAAGGAAAGGAAAGAAGGTATGAGTGGAAATAGATATAATGACTCTTAAGTGTAGCATCTGCTGTCCTAGAATGCAAAGGTCATAATTATAGCAGAAATAAACTAATTGATGAAGCCTGGATTCATTAATACGGTAGCACTTTTTATCTGTTCTCAACAATATAACTCTAATTCTTCCTGATATTTAATATTACTTTATTGGGGTTATAGAAAGCCTTTGAATTGGAGTAGTTAATACTTGGTCGTAACTTTACACAAATGTGAGGGATGTTAATGATAATGAATTCAATCATTAAAGAGTCAACGAAAGAACAGAAATATATGATAGGGAGTAAAATTCAAGGCACAATGGAAGAGTCTGCAACTGTTAACCATAATTTCTTTTACATCTTAAAGACACACACAGAGAGTGTGAAATAACCAACTGTGTAATGCCGTGCTAGGTGCACAGTAAGGAGGAAGTAGAGAGAGATTTCTGAGTTATATTGCTAACAGCAAGATTTTTGCACAGAAAGAATGATAAATATTAAAGTCAATGAATGCTAATTAATAAAAAAGAAAAGGAAAGAAGGAAGGAGGGAGGGAGGGAAGGACAAAGAAAGGAAGGAAGGAACAGAAGAACTAATTTGGATGATTCCATCTGCAAATTTTTGACCTTTATTTTGTTGAGGAAACAATGTGTGTGCTGTGCATGTGTACACATGTATGCATACATGTGTACACAGACAGCATGTGTACACAGAGACCCTTCTTTTCCTCCTCTGTACACACCATGTTCCACAACACTATTTAAAAACAACTGAGAATATGTGAAATATTGTTCTATGGCTCTAGTTCAAGGGTCTTCAAGATTTAAAAATTTTTATCTCGGAAATAAACAAATTTCGAGCATGCACAAGCAAACTGTTTTTTTATTTTATATTCAATTATACCATGTTTCTGTGTAAACTATAATACTTTCAAAAAATAGAGCTTCAATGAATGGGACATAGCAATACAGGTACACAAATTTTACTGTTGTTGTTTTCATAACATAAATTTTTATATAGATTAGATGAGCTCATTTTCAATTTGGAGACCACTGTACAAACAAGGTCTCAAATCTTAATAACTCCAAAATGACTAGAATTCTTTTTATTTAGGTCAAGATGATGGGTTGATATTCTGTAGAGAAAAAGGAGATATTTTAAATAAATATAGTTTGCTTTATTTTTTACATTCTAGGTCAACTTTTCTAAGGGATGTTTTATATATAATAAATGTACACATTGCTGTATGGCTTTAATAGTTCAATAAATTTTGACAAACAGATACTGTAACTATTATCGAGACACAGCATATTTTGTCACTTACAAAAAAACATTCTTCTTTGTTGTCAATCATTCCCCTACCACATCTCCCATTCAAATAAAAGACAGCTGTGGCTGTCTTTTCTCATTTGGAAAAACTGTCACATGTCTCATGTAAATCATAAGCAAATCCAGGACAGGGCAGTACCTAGTACTGTATGAGAGAACAGTTACCTAGGAGCACAAGACAGAAGCAGAAGTATGTGTCTTCATGACCAGGGTGTTGGCAGCTAGAAAATACAGAACCAAACCTAGGTTGTAGCAGAGTTAATGTTTAACACAGATGTGGCATACACTGTTTTCAGTTCAAGAACTATGACAGATGGAAGAGATATAAATAAAATCTGTACTCCTTGATGTTCTATAGGCAGAAGAGATGGAGAAAGAAAATAGCACACTGGTGACAGAATTCATCTTCCTTGGCCTGACCCAGTCTCCAAATATTCAGCTCCTAGTCTTTGTGTTGATCTTAATTTTCTATCTCATCATCCTCCCTGGAAACTTCCTCATCATCCTCACCATCAAGTTAGACCCTGGCCTCTCTGCTCCCCTCTACTTCTTTCTGGGCAACTTGGCCTTCCTGGATGCATCCTACTCCTTCATTGTGGCTCCCAGGATGCTGGTGGACTTCCTTTCTGAGAAGAAGGTAATCTCCTATAGAGGCTGCATCACTCAGCTCTTTTTCTTGCATTTCCTTGGAGGGGGGGAGGGTTTACTCCTAGTTGTGATGGCCTTTGACTGCTATATCGCCATCTGCCGGCCTTTGTACTACTCAACTGTCATGAACCCTAGAACTTGCTGTGTATTGCTGTTGGCTCTGTGGTTTGGAGGCTTTATCCACTCCATTATTCAGGTGGTGCTCATCCTCCGTTTGCCCTTCTGTGGCCCAAACCAGCTGGATAACTTCTTCTGTGATGTGCCGCAGGTCATCAAGCTGGCCTGCACAGACACCTTCGTGGTGGAGCTCCTGATGGTCTTCAACAGTGGTCTCCTCACCCTCCTGTGCTTCGTGGGGCTTCTGTCCTCCTATGCGGTCATCCTCTGCCATGTACGTGGGTCGGCTTCTGACAGGAAGAGCAAGGCCATGTCCACGTGCACCACCCACGTCATTATCATATTTCTCATGTTTGGACCTGCTATTTTCATCTACACTCGCCCCTTCAGAACCTTACCAGCTGACAAGGTGGTTGCCTTTTTCCACACAGTCATCTTTCCATTGATGAACCCTGTAATTTATACCCTTCGCAACCAGGAAGTAAAATCTTCTATGAGGAGGTTATTGAGTCGGCATGTGGTTTGTTGAATAGATTTTATAATAAGAAGCCAAGAAGGGGGAATTATGGCTGAAAAATCATTCATTCATTTGATATTGTTTTTTATGGAATGCTTCCTATTTGTCAAGTACTATTATGGGCACGGGGGAGAATAATGAGAATGTCAATTTGCTATGTTTAAAGAATTATAAAAGAAACGTCAGACTGGTTGGAGTATTATGAGTAAGTGTGAGAGACATAGGAGTGCATGGGTCAAATAACTAGGGATTTTAGGCTTGAATTAGGAGTTTTTTTCCTCTATTCTAATTAAGGTAAAAATTCTTCTTGATATTTTGAATAAGAATGATCATTTACAATAGTTTCTTCTGTGGTTTAGAATAATCTTCAGGGTGAAGATCAAAACATCATTAAAAGCATGATGTTAGGGCCTTCCCTGGTGGCGCAGTGGTTGAGCACTGGACTGCAAAGCTGCCCGCAGCCTCTGCAGCGCCGGTTTGAACCCCGGCTGCCTGCGAGAGTCCCACATGGCGCACAGACCTCTCCTGCTGCCTGCTGCTCCCCTCAGCAGTGTACTTCGTGAGCCTACCTGTTTTGTTCTCCGCTCTGGCTCTGGTGAATTCTCTCACCCTCCCGCGCTACTGACTGTACCCAGTGCTTGTATAAATAAATTTTTTTTTTTAAAGCCCAATGTTATACTGCAGATCTGTTTTGAAAAACTCTCTCTGTCTCTCTTTCTTCCTTACCCCCCCCCCATTCCCAGCCAAATTTGGCAGAGAAGAAAGAAAGGAAGATAATTGGTTTTATGGGAAAAGGTTATGAAATTATTTCACTTGATTTTCTTTCAGAGCTTCGTGATTATCACTAAGGGATTTTTTTTTTTTTACAGAACACCTTTTATGTTAAGACTTACCCTCAATTGATTTCACTCTTATTATGATAATGGTAGTTATTTGGTACTTCAGAGTCTGTTGAAGATTACATAAATCATTCTAGTTATTTTAAATATAATTGAATTTAATGTGGAAATTAGGTACTTATAAAATCTTTAGATTGGAACAAGGCCATTTTCTGTGCTGGGCATTGAGACAAGATTGCAGAAAACCACTATCAAACACAGTGCCAAGTGATCTAGCTTGCAGTAATCAGGTGCCTGGGAAGACAGGAAGCCATTTTTCCAGCTCCTCACCAACAAGTGCACCAATTAGCTATGACCTGGGATCAGGAGAATGACAGAGAATACTTTTCATATTATTTCCTCTCCAATTTTTTTCTCTAAAGTTACATTTTGCATAAGTACATTTGATAGTCAAAATTTGGAACCTTACATGAAAGGTCCCAAGAGAACATGTTTATATGTTTACATCTTCTTTGAAAAACAAAACAAAAATTATGGAAAAATTATGGTAAAAAATAATGATTTTATAACCATTAAGGTGAAAATAGGCAGTTAAATATGACAAAATAGTTATATTTGACATGTTAAAATATGTGATGAAAATATGTTTATCACATTTGACTGTGTTGATTCTTTTTTGCACAATTATAGAGGTTTGTATGGAAATTGAATGTTTCCTTCCTAGTTCAGGGAGGTAGGAATCCAAGCATAAAAATGAGAATAAAAAAACTATTAACTAAGCAAATTGATAAAAAGTTAGTTCACTTGGTACATGAAGAATTCTAATAAATGAATATGACATGGACACACACCAGAGCAAATGGTGCTGAGTGAAACTAACAGTCAATTAACAAAGGAAAAAATGAAAAGGCTTATAAAAATAAAAATAGTTCTATTCTCAAAAACCAACCACAAGAAGAAAACCCACTGATTCTGGCTGGTTTGTGGAAGAATGTTTCTCATGTTTTATCAACAATGAGAAAAGTTCAAAACAAAGAGTATACTTTTCTATGAGGTTATCAGAGTGTGGATGAAGCAAGAAAGTTTATTGAGTTCCAGAGAGGAACTAGGTCTGTATAATGGGTCAAGAGCATTGACAGCTTCCATACCTGTCGGCAATAACTCATTTGGACATGGCCAAATGGAGGAGTGATTCTGCCACAGATTGAGGTATTTTGGAGAGATGATGAAAAACAAGCTGAGCTTTTTATAATACATGGAATATGATCCTGTACCCCTGGATCACATACAGTGCTATAAAACAATATTACCTCAATAAAATAAAATCAAATAAAGATCTGAATAATGGATTAAAAAGAATCTGTAAAAACTCCAAACACAAGGGCCTCCCCGGTGGTGCAGCGGTTTAGCGCTGGGTTGTGAAGCTGCCTGCGGCCTCTGCGGTGCCGGTTCGATCCCCGGCTGCTCCCCGGCCACTGGAGGAGGGTCCCACATGGCGCGCAGACCTCTCCTGCCGCCCGCTGCTCCCCTCAGCAGTGCACTTCGGTCCTTCTGCCTGCTCTGCTCCCCGCTCTGGCTCTGGTGAATTCTCTCACCCTCTCGCGCTTCTGACTGTACCCAGTGCATGTATAAACAAAAAACAAACAAACAAACAAATAAATAAAAAACATGCTTCTATTAAAAAAATTTAAAAAAAAACTCCAAACACAAAAGTAAATAACTCACTTTTGTAAATTTCTTCCCTTTACCCCTCATTTGGACCTATGCCAGTAATTTTCTCAGAAAAGAGACAGTGGAGGGAGAACTGAAAATCAGAGGGACTTTGTATATTCTCATTAATTATTATAGTACAGATGTTGATGTATACAGAGTTGAATTCTAATGGAAGCAAAGCTATGTTAATTGTGGCTTGAACCCCTCAGAGCTCTAAATACTGACAACAGCAGAGATATCAGCTCCTTGGTGGTAACTGACAGATGCTGGAGATAAATACAATCTAAGTGAAATGCATTATTTTAGAGAATATTCCAAATTCCCATTCATATAGACCTTTGAAAAAATCAGAATGATTAAATCCTCATTCTAACTTCAGGGTTCAGGAAAAGTTATAACTCTGAAAAACTAACCAAAATAAAATGAAATATTAGTCTTCATCCACTTCTGAATTTTTAATAGAAGGTGTTAGGAATATAATTCAAAAAATTAGAAGCTGTATCAAGAAAATGAAGCAGGAAAAAGATGTCATAGTTAACAATAAATACTGATAGAGTTTCTCAGTTGAATCATATGATGGAATTGCCATGAAAGGACTTTAGAAAACTACTATAAATATATTGAATGAGAGATAAATGTATACAGAGATATGCATTTAAGAAGAAAAGGGAAAACTATAAATATAAGTGGCTATTTAAGAGCTAAAAATGACTGAAATCAGAAAGAGATTCTTGGAGGGAGGGGAACAGCATTTTTTACTGCAAATAAAATAACTAACGATTAGTAGAAATAATCAAAGTGAAGGACAAAAAGAAAATATTTCAAAACATGAATGGTATTAATATATCTTGAGGGGGGTGAATATCATATAGCAAATAAAAATTCCATAAGAACAAAGAGGGAATGGACTATGGACAATGGGCTATGATGGTGGACTATGGGTGATATGGTGGTAGATACCCTAAGGTGGTGCTACCCAATGGGGAGTATCCTAATTTTGCCACAATTATAAGAATACATTAAAACAAGCAAACAAAATTCTGGAAGAAGAGAACAGGACAAAGAAAATGAAATAACTGCAGGAAACCTCCAAATTTCATAAAAACAATCCAGATAGCCAAGAAATGCAGCAAAATCCAAGCAGTATAAATATAAATGAATAAATAACAGGTACTAAAGCAATATGAAAAGAAAATGTTAAATGCAGTCAGGGAAGAAAAGACAGTGCAGAGGAATGACAGTCAGAATGATGGTCAACTTTTTATTAGGAATAATGGGAACCATGCTGGTGTAATGGCAATTTTTTTTCATTTAATAGAATTTTTTTTTAATTTTATTTTTTATATTCCCCATACAATTACAACCCTCTTACTTTACCCCAAGCCCTCCTTTCCCCGCCCCCCACCCGCCAGAGAGTGTCTCTGGTTCAGTTGTTTGTCGATTTTGATATTTTCTTTCTTATAGTTATTCTTTTTCTTGGTCCCTTATTTAAGTTTTCTAGAATGGCATTTTTAAAGTTCTCAAAGGAAAAAACCCAAATTTTCAAGCTATGATTCCATATACAGTGGAAATAAACTTCAAAGAAAGGTGCCACAAGCATTTTAGTAGTCATGAAAGTCTAGGGAGAATTTGTTGACAGTGTACTTACATACAAATATGTACTAAACAAAATTCTGATGTAAAAATATAATTTATGGGGAGTAATGAAAAGATTTGAAAATGGTAAATAAGGGTGTAAATATGGAATAAAAGGTCTATTTTCAAATTTTCTTAATCACTTTAAAAGATAATTAATTGTTTAGGGGCCTCCCTGGTAGCGCAAGGTGTTAAGACACAACATATGAAGCTGTCTGCAGCCTCTGCAGTGCGAATTTGATCCAATCCCCCGTCAGGGAGCGACCCACATGGTGCAGCAGAACTCTCCTGACTCGCCCACTGCTCCCCTCAGCAGTGTACTTTGGTCAATCTGCCTGTTCTGTTCCCCACTCTGTCACTGGTGAATCCTCTCACCCCCACACCTCTGGCCTGTACCCAGCTCTTGTATGCATAAATAAATAAATTTTTTTAAAGAAAGATAATTAATTGTTTAAATGCAAAATAATAAAGCACTATGGGGTTTAGAACATATAGAAGTAAAATATATGACAACAATAGCAAAAAGTTCTTAAAGAAGAATAAAGGGTTTATATTTTTGGGAAATACATTCCTCATGAAGTAGCCTTGGATAATGATTTAAGGTGATATATATGTATATAGCCTCTACTAACCACATTTCTAATATTAACCGTATTCACTGCATTTTTAACATATGTTTTAATGTCCTTGACTGATAATTCTGTAATTCATGCCATTTTTGGGTGTTTGTTGATTGGGTTAGCCCATGGTTTTATTGCCATATTTCTTATCTCTTTATGGTTGGTAGATTTTTTTTTTAAAGATTTTATTTATTTATACAAGCAC